AAAAAAAAAAAGTGGTCTCCATATAATGGAATACTACTTTGCTATAAAGAATGACAGATTTGAGACATCCGTAGGAAAATGGATGCACCTGGAAAATACAATGGTGAGCCAGGGAGATAGCTCAGCGGCATAAGCGCTTGCCTGGAAAGTGCAAGATCCTGAGTTTGATCCCTGGTACTGTTAAAAAAAAAAAAAGAAAGAAACAAAGACAATGTTGAGTGAAATAAACCAGATAAGTTTAAAATACTATGGTATTTCTCATTTGAGTGAGGCAAAGTATAAACAAAGGGAATGATAAGGGATGAAAAGAAGGGAACAAGGAGCAGAGAAGTGGTCTAAGAGGAAAAATGCAAGTGGTAAAGAGATAAAGAAGGGGAAATAAGGAGAATATTTGCCATGCACAGGAATCTAATGATCTCAATTATATGCCATACTATGAGCTGTTGTTAATAATATTAGAAACAATGCAAGAAGACAGGGAGAAAAGGGAGGGAAGGGGATTAAAAAGAAACACCTATGGCGTGTAGATGTAACTATTCTCCAAGATGACTGTCAAACACATCAACAGCAAACATGTACTAATAAGGTAAAAAATTTAAACTACATTTACATTGTTGTGACTTTTATCACTGTGTCCAGAAACTTCTATCTCACACAAAAACTCTGCACTTATAACTCTCCATTTTTCCTTCACCCCCAACCCTGTCGCAACTTTTCTATCTCTAGAATTTAACTACTATAGGTACTCCATAAAAAAAAAATCATATAATATTTGTTCTTTTCTGTCTCTGGTATTTCACTTAGCAAAATGTCTCTGAAAAAAATAAAAATGATCAAAATAATACAATATCCTGAGATTTATCCATGTTGTAGCATGTGCCAGAATTTCTTTTTAAGGCTTAACAGTATGCCAATGGAGGCTGGACTGGGGATGTAGCTCAGTGGCAGGGCACTTGCCTCCTATACCCTTGGTTCAATCCCTGAAACTACACCAAAAAATACATATATGCATGCATGCATGCCTACACACACACACAGTTGTTTCTTAGCTACTTTCTCCTTGCTGAGACAAAATACCCAACAGCCACAGGCAAAATAGAAAATGTTTATTTTAGCTTAGTTTGTAGTGGTTTCAGTACATGGTAGATTGTCTCCAAAGCAGAACAGCATGGCAGAGGGGCATCACAGAGGAGAAAATAGTTCATGGCATGGCAGAAGGTAACATGTAGCATGCAGCCAACCTGCCTTTCCCCTGTATCTGGTGCCATTCAGAAGTATGCTAACTTCATTCAATGGAAAATTTAATACCACAACCCTTAATTCCAGTGTCATACATCCTAGATCCAGCCACCTCTGACAACCCCCACCTATGAGCATGTAAGGCTTTGGAGGGATGTCTAGACACAAGTTAGAATACATTGTTTTTAATTTGTGACTATTACGAAAGTTGTTGCTCTGAACAGGGGTGTATACCTATCTACTGAAGTCTCTGTTTTCAATCTTTTGAATACAAACTCAAAGTGAAATTTATTGATATGGTAATTCTTTGTTTAATGTTTTGATAAACTGCCATATTATTTTTGACAGCTGCTGCACCATTTTATATTCCCATCAACAGTGCAAAAGGGTTCTAATTTTCCATATTGTGGCTGACACTTGTTTTCTGTGTGTGTGTGTGTGTGTGTGTGTGTGTGTGTGTGTGTTCTGTGTAATAGCCATCCTAATGGACATGAAGTGGAATCCTATTGTGATTTTGGTTCAGATTTCCCTACTTACTAATTATATTCAGCATATTTTCATGTGCTTATTGGCTATTTATGGATCTTCCTTGGTGAAATCTCTGATGTTTACTTGAACTGTTTGTCTAATTTTGTATTTTTGTTGTTGCTTTTGGTGGTACTAGAGATTGAACTTGGAACCTCATGCATGTAAGGCAAGTACCACTGAGCTACATTTCCAGTCTTCTTATTCTAATTTTTACAAAAAAAAATTTAAGAATTTTTTTATTTATTGGATACGGGGTTTCACTATGCACCTTGGAGTCATAGTGATTCTCCTGTCTCAGCTTCTCTGGTGCTAGAATTATAGGCGTGTGCCACCATACCTGGTTCTGGGCCGACCATGGCACGCAGTACTGGAAATCAAACCCAGGTCTCACTATGCAGCTTGGATTCAAAGTGATCCTCCTATTTTTAGCCTCCCCAGCACTGGGATTACAGGCGTGTGCCACCATGTCCAGTTTTGGGGGCTGGTTCTGTACAGAGCTGGTATAGCATGTGGTGCCAGGGATCAAACCCCAGTCTCTGCACTTGCCTAAGCAGGCATTTAGTGCGCTGAGCTATCTTGCCAGGTCTGCTTTTTGTTTTCAAAGCAATTTTTTTCAAGCTGCATAATATGTGCACACCATGCTGGACTATATCTAACTTTTTGTTGACAGAATTCTATCAGATTTTAGAGTTAGGAGAAAAGCTCTAAGAATATTTTAATGTTAAGATATGAAGTCTTAGATGGGTATGGTGGTGCATACTTATAATCCCAGCACTCAGGAAGCTGAGGAAGACAAGTAAATAGCCAACCTGAAGAAAAAAGTGAGACACTGTCTCAAAAAATGATAAAGAGAAGGAGGGAGGAAGGGAGGCAAGGACAGAGAGAGAGAGAGAGAGAGAGAGAGAGAGAGAGAGAGAGAGAGAGAGAGAGAGAGAGATCTTAGCAATAGTTCAAATCAGGGACTTCATATTTAAAACATTTAAAGGTACCAGAATGGTTACAAATGTGACTGGAGTAACATGGTTTTAGAAAAATGGAGTACAGAGAATGTGTGGAACCAAAAGTACAAAGTCCAAAAGATGTTTAAAATGGAAACACATTCCGAAGGCCCAATAAAACACTGTGCAGGTAATTATACTCTAAGGCTGCTAGGTAAACCACACCTACATGTGATGAATTAAATATTTTATATAGGAGAAATAGACTGTACATTCTAAGCATCTTCTACAGTTTAAATTTTGCATTAGAATATATGATATATAAGGTTCATCCTATGCAGCTGAGGCAGAAAGCAACAAAAACAAAGTAAGAACTCTAAAGTCAAGCTGCCTGGGTGTAAGTAACAGCTTCACTGTATGAGACCAATGTAACTTTAAGTAAGATAATAGGTTCTCCAATCTTCATTTTCTTTTTTTTTTTTTTCCCCCCGGAACTGGGGATTGAACTCAGGCCCTTGAGCTTGCCAGAGAAGCGCTTATTCTACTGAGCCATCTCCCCGGCCCCTAAAGGCAGACCCGGGACTCAAACCTATGAACTCGCACTGTAGAGCCTAATGTGTAAACTGCTACACTATCTCTCCAGCTTCCAATCTTCATTTTCTCTTTCCTACAAAATAATAACAGTACCGCTCCCATAATGTTACAAAGATCAAATGAGATAGCAGGACAAAGACTTTCATATTAGAGCATTTGCCATTTAGTACGTGTTCAATAAAAACATCACTAAACAACAATAAAATCTCAACTTTTTTATCTAAAGACTTTAGGTGATATATATTCAAATGAAAAATAAATTTAAAATATCCAAATAGGAGGAAAAAGGAGTAGAAAAATAACAGTAAAATATAAGGTCAGTGTATAACACATATTTGAAATATAACTGGCTCTTACTTATTGCTAAGACAACCTCTCTCTCAACAACAAAATAAAACCACAAACACAGTTCCTAGAAGCACTACCATGCTATCTCCAATTGGTTTTCATTTGCCATGTTGTTTCAGACTAAACCACTATTTCCTGCTTTCTTTAAGTTTAACCCTCAACAGTTCCAGAGAAGAAATTTAAACCAGTCTATTTCTTTCTGTTATTCTGACAGGTGGTAGTAGGTATAGCAGGATTAAAAAATAGTGAATCCTAAGTTAAAAATATTTTTTCAGGGCCAGTAAGATAGCTTATCTGATTAAGCTGAGCCAAGTGCAGAGACTGGGATTTGATCCATGGCACCACATGTGGCACCAGCACTGCCCCTGCCCCCAGATGCACTGAGCCAGTCACTGAGACTCAGCCTGGTGGCACCTGCCTGTAATCCCAGCACTGGGGAGGCTGAGACATGAGGATCACTAAGAGCTGTGTAGTAAGACCCTATACTAAATACATTAAAAAAATTTTTTTGTTTTCAATACCTCCAGATATCCACTAAAAATATAATTACTATGGTTATGGTTTTGTTTTAAACTCATTCCATTTCATTATATCAGAGTCAAATCACTTTAAACCAATCTGAGCACAAAAATTCTCAAACCTATCTGAAAAATAACTCATTTCACATTCCTTGTATTACTCTTTTGATAAAACACAAATCGATCTTGATACTTAATATATATTATGATAAAGGCACTAGTAGAGGGAAGTTTAACTACTCTTTTGATCTTAGAAAGCTTAATCTTTGGTGTCTTAATTTGTTGAAATACCCATGGAAGGGGAGGAAGAAGGTGAAAAAGTGACAAAGGAGTTAGTGTCATGGGAGATGGTGCCATTGCACATGCCTTCCTATCAATCTTTTCACATAAACTTACCGGTTTTACATTCTGTGCATATGAACTTCTCATCGGGGACTGATGTCCATCCCAGGCACTCCAGGTGAAAGTGTCTGCAGCACTCTCCCTCGCAAGGAACCAAAGAGTCACCAGAGCTTTCACAGATCTGTAACACGGCATAAAGCAATGGCTCTCAGACTTTAGCAGGCACCAGCTGCCAGTTTCTGCCTCAGAGATCCTAATTCAGTAGGTCTTTGAGTCCCAGAAATTTGCATTTCTAACAAGTATTGTGAAGATGCTGATACTACTGCTGGTCCTCGGACTTTACTCTAAAAATCACTGATATATCGTGACATCTATTTCTGTACCCCATATGACATAAAATTTACTGTCACAATTCAGTACAGTGTTTGCTTAACATATATCATCATCCAGGCTTAACCCCTATAAATTATGTATATATGTATGTCAAACTTGAGCTTTTATGACTCCCTTTTTGGGATCCGCATACTTTTTTCATATAACAAAGCAATAGTTTTCCAAAAGGGTAAAAATACATTTAAAAAGTTAACATGAATTTAAACATAAGAAAAAAAATTTTTTTCAGAGACAGGGTCTCACTATGCAGTTCAGGCTGGCCTTAAATTCACTTTGTAGCCTGGGTTGGCCTCAAACTTGCAGTGATCCTCCTGCTTTAGCCTCCCAAGTGCTGGGATTACAAGTGTGTGCCACCATACCCAGCTAAGAAAATGTTTCTGAAATGGATTATCTGCTATGTACTCCCAATTAATATCACAATGATAACTGGCATTTACAACTAAATAAGCATTCAAGCTTATAATAATGAATTAGGAAGAGCTTCCAGGGTCAGCGAGAGCTCAGCAGACTAAGTGCCTGCTTAGAGAAGCACAGGGATTAGGGTTCGAACCGAGGCACCACTTGCCTCAGAGACTCAGCATAGTGGACCATGCCTGTAATCCCAGCACTGGGTAGGCTGAAAACAGAATCACTGCAAGTCCAAAGCTGCATAGTGAGACCTTGTACCAAATACATTATAAAAAGAAAAGAGCTTCCAGATATATGGCTTTAAAGTGAAGCATAAATTAGAAAAGGACTGCCCTCTTCAAGAAAAGGTTAAGTGTATTATTGGCAAAATATGATCACACCTGTTTTCAGTTAGAGGTTGAGTCACCTGCCTACCTGACATACAGTGTCTTTCCTACTTATTCCAATGCCTCTTCTGGACAAACTTGAATCCACGGACTGCACATCAGAAACATCTGCATCTGCAGCAGCTGATGGGCTATCTACTTGTCTTCCAAAGCCTACCTATATAAAAAAAAACAGCACAATTTTAAGAAAAACAAAACTATAAAAGTTAGATGCAATGAAAATAATAGTAAGACATGTTCAAATAGATCTTTTTTTGTCTTTCTAGTATCAGGGATTGAACTCAGCACTTCGTGCTTATCAGGTGGGTGCTTATGCCACTAAGCTATATCGTCTGTTGCTTAAGAACTTTTTAAAAAAAATCTATGAAATCTGCATGTTTATCATTTTTCAAGAAACAATAAATTGCTTCTACTATGTACAAGATCAGCAAACTTAAGACATAACTGCCAGGTATGGTAATGCACATTTGTAATCCCAGCAGGTGGTAGGATGAGGCCCACCTAGGCTGCATAATGCATTCAAGACCTGCCAGAACTACAGAGCGAGACACTGTCTCAAGGGAAAACAAAAATCCCCACTTATAAATTACAAAATGAGCAATGATCCCAGCCCCCAAGATTATTTTTTAAATTCCCAGATTTCCCCAGTTAAGTCAGGCAAAAGCATTATGTTACTCTGGTTTACAAAGCAGAACATGACATTCTACCCAGACCCTTGAACATACTTACCTGCAGATCACTCAGTCCTCTAGAATCGGAGTCAGAGGTGTCTCTGTAGGCTGAACTAGTCATTTCTACATCGGTTGAGGCGCGACTCCTTTTCTTTAGAGGCTTACAGGAATCTGAAATCTCGCTGGCACCTTAATACAACACACTGAAATTAATCCTAAAATAGTACTGTTTGTCCTTTTAATTTTTTTGTGTGTAGGAGAATATTTTTCCCCAAACTCATCTTTAGTGTAAAAAAAAAAAAAAAAAAAAAAAGCACATCTCTTTGTAACACTAAGGCCATAAGTCAAACCTTCACAAGCTTCTGACCTTCCTGGTAGTGATTTAATTCACAGTTGCTCTATTAAAACATTTAATTTCGTTCACCTGTCCTAATGCTATTTTCAGTCAGCAGAGCCCAAGTTCCAACCTAAAAATCAATTCTATCAAGACTGCAAGATAGCTGATTGATTGGAGCAATTCAAAGAACCATTCAATTTGGAGGGGGAAAGACATAAAACTCAACACACTGTGTAGCTTACAAATATGGTTGCAGAAACATCTCCATCTTGTTTTTTTATTAGGGATGTGACAAATCTTTGATTTGTATTCGATTCGTACACGGATAGTGCCATTTTCCCCTGAATTTTGCAATTCAGTTGATTACTGCCCCCCAAATAAATTTTGAGTATTCATAATTGTTCATCTGAGACTTCCTTGGTGAAGTGGCATTTATTGTGACCATTTTTAACAAGTGCTGCAGCACATCTACATGTATCATGCCATTAGCAGGCACATTGCTGAATAGTGAATGGACAGCTTTCAATGCAGCCAAGTCATGAAGAGCTGGATGAGAGGCCTCTATGTGGAATGTATGTGGGAAGGAGTAAACATGGAAAAAAAAAAAAAAAAAAGGCAGAGAATAGTGTGGAATTTTTTTAAAACTGTGTGTAATACAAATCCAGCCAAAACAATAGTGCAAAAAGTTACAAAGCAACAATCTCTTGGGCTAATGCAGTATAGGCTATACAGAAACAGCCACGATGAAATGTGCAGATCAGGCACGGTGAATACCAAGGAACCAAGGAGACTGTTAATATTTCCACCCACAGTTTGTGTTTTGGATTTTCCCCCAAAATTTCCATACAACAGACAGACATCTAGAGCAGCCCAACAAGCTACGGTGGAAGTGTGCAGTCCAGAAGAGACATAGAGAACAAGTCTCGTGAGGCCACGAAGATCCGCAACAGGCTGAGTAGAAGCAGCACTTGGTACATAGCCACGTTCTGTGGTGGAGGATGTGGGCCTCGGGAGACTGCTCAGATTACTGGAACCTTGTTATCACATCCCATCTACAAGTTTCTCAGTGAATGCTTCCTGACAGCTATGAACGAGGGTGCCTGCCCACATTAACGCTGATTTAAAAACACAAGTACACAAATCTATCTCCTTCATTGCTGGTGTATGGACCCAGAACACCACCACAAAATATTTCCTTGGCCTAAAAGATCACTGGATTAACAGGAGTTTTAACAGAGGAATAGGAGTGCTGTACTGAGAGGTTTTCGAAGGGAAACACAGGTACCGCCATTTTTGATGAGTTTCTGAAAATGATAGAAAAATGACAGACTACTGAAGACAGCTGTCATGTTGTTCTCCATGATAACGGCACTAATATTAAAAAAAATAAGAGCTTTTAATGATTGCAATGTATACAGTTTGGGCTGTTTGACAGAACTCTGCAGGTGTGCATTAATGATGTTTTATTTAAAAACAAAAACCCCAAAAATAGTCCATGTTGGAATTGATCAGTGTAAATTAAACGGTGGTGTTTTAAGCTGGATTCATGATTTAAGCTGTACCCATCCAGCTCAGACCAAAAAGAAAAAAAAAGAAAAAAAAAAAAAAAAAAAGAAAAGAAAAAGGAAAAAGAAAAAAATCATTTGAATGTTAAAGCAATTGTTCAGAGTCTTGAAGAAACCAGGCAGGAGAATGCCAATAATGATGACTGGCAAAATCGAAATCGAAAACAAAGAAACTGTTTATCGAGTCGCCGACAAAGAAATCTTGCATGGAGACTACAAGTCTGGAGTTTCTGGGATGAAATTGTACAGGAATCTCAGTCCACAGTTTCCTCAATCGCTGCGGAGACGGAGCTGTCACTGAATCTGACAGAGCCCTGCACTCCCCGGTCCGCCGACCCTGTGGAATGGTGGAAACACAACGCAATCAGGCCTCCTAATCTCGCAGCGATCGCGATGTCTTTTCTTGGAGCTCCGCCAAGCAGTGTTCCCTCCGAGAGGCTGTTCAGTTCTGCTGAGGATCTCCACGGAGACCATCGCTGCAGACTTCTCCCCGAGAATGCAGAGAGGCTGGTGTTTTATTTATTTTTCAAATAATGCAATTTGCCCAGAGTAAACTATATGTATTAAATACAGTTTTGAGCTCACCAAAAAAAAAAAAAAAAGAAAAAAGAAAAAAAAGCATGAATTATGCTATGGAGTTTGTACTGTAGTCAAATTGCACACAGGAAATACAGTTATAAGTTTAAGGTTTCTTAAACTTTGTGCATATCGCATATACATTCTCATAAAGTCATATAATAGTGGCCATAAATATGCTATGGATCATTTTAATTTACAAAAAGGTTTTACAGCACTGTAAAAATAAATGTGGCAAAATTTTTTTCAATTGGGTTGTCTTTTCTGATTTGTCATAGTTCATGTTTGACAAACATTAATAGCTACTATTCGGTATTCAGTCGAATTCCAAAAAAAGTGGATTCGTCACATCCCTAGTTTATAAGCCAGTGAAACCCCAGAATTTTATGGAGAAAAGTTGGAAACAATATCTAGTCTACATGGTATTCTTCAATTTACCAAAACAAGACTTTTCACATGAAGTTACAGAGTAAGATCAACTCTAAGTAAGAGTCACACACACACACACACACGCATGCGTGTGCGTGCGCGCGCACACACACACACACACACACACACACACACGGGAATACTGCAATTTCACACTGAAGAGCAACAACAATGATTTACAGAGACAGACAAAAATACATGAAGTACAAATAGGTGATTCTTTAAAATTGGTTTAATCAAGGAAATGCAAAACAACATTATAATATTAACTCACCTTTCTGTAATCCAGTCTTCACTGTAGCCTGAGGAACTGCTTCAACCTGTGTGAACAGAAAAACAGCATTAACAAGGAGCTTTCTTCTCTTAATTAACAGGGAAAAAAAACCAAACAAACAACATTTTCATCAATCTAAGTAGTAACAAGTGATCAATGTATCTAAAATATGAACTCAGTCCCATTTTCTGGGTCAAGTTCTCTGTCTCAAGGCCAGGGAAGGTTTAAATCCTAGCTGCCTGTGCTGAATACCAAGTGACAACACAAAGCCACATGCTCTCTAGCAAAGACTTTTCCCACCATTCCCTTGGTATATGGGAAAAAAAATGCTTTCCTCAGTGTCTGGAAGGCAAGAGAGGGGTTGTTTCTGCAACCAACCCCAATGTTGCTATAAACCCCTCCCGCCCCAAAGACGTTAGGATAAATTTTTACTTACTATGATACTCAGGTTAATGTAACTCACGCCACTTTTAGACCCTTCCGCGCCTGCACTCACAGCTAAGTTGCTGGGAATCAGGACCCTCTCTGTAGAGAGTGCTACAGGGCTCCATACAGCTGGAAGCTCAATACTTTTGCTGCTAGTACAAACTTAAGAAAATAAGTTTGTGATATTGCAAAAGCACTTTCTTGAGTGTCTTATGAACAGTGTCTTGATCCTACATTAGGAGAGCGAGATCAGAAGTTATTCTGCCAATGTATATGTAAAACACGTGGTAATTTGAGGATTGAACAATTAGAATTAGAGAAAGGATGCTGTTTGGAGGAGTTCCTGTTTAAGCTATGAATTGAATTTTATGTTTCTTTAAGATGTGGTGAAATATGCATGTTGAAACACATTTTGTAAATATTTAAGGATTGTTCTAAGCTTTTTAAAAAAATTTTTATTTTTTTACAACAGGTAAAAAAAACATACAACATAAATGCTTTTTATAAGATACAATTAGTCATACAAATATAAAATCTTCTAACAATCACTGGTATTATTCTACTACTGACTATAACACAGTGGCATTAACAATGTGTCCCATTATTTTGTACTCATTCTGCTTATTTTAAACTGGTCACAGACTGAATTTGGGAACCAAGTGGCAAAATCACAACTTTATTTTAGTAACGAATACTGTAGGATTTGCAAGAGCTTATCATTAAGATTTTTTGGAATATAATTTTCTAAGTATGAAAGTTAATACGCTAAATAAATGTAAATTTGTATATTATTTTACTTTTAGTTAGTCTGGAAAAACTGTTTTACATGCGTGTGATACCATAGAGCACCCACAAAGACAGATTTTAAATTTAGAAGTTTAAAATTATGAAGGCAATATTTTAAATAGAAAAGTCCACACTGTTCCATAATAAAGGATTTTTAAAATATAAAACTTACTGGAACTAATTCTACTCAGAATATGTTCTGTTTAATATCAGGTGTCCAGACTAAATAAATGGATATTCTTTCATTAAAAAAAAAAAAAAAGAAGAAGAAGAAGAAGAAAGTCTGGATTGTGAGTTTAAAGGAGAATGGTTTCTAAAACTGTCTTTGAAAGGGTAATTTAACATATATGTTACTATACTGAGTACACCAGTTGAACATTCTGTCAAAATGTATCTCTTCTTTTTCACTTAAATATTATTTATCTGACAACCTATACCAAGTGAATACCATTTCATTGGGAAAATAACATTCCAAAAAATCTGTGATATCAACAGAAAAACCAGATCATCTATAACTATCTGCTTCTTAAATATAAGTTAAATTAATTTGATTTGTTTAAAAAAATAAAAATACATATCAGCAGCTTAAACCAAAAATCAAAATTTTTTTAAAAAGTGAACTTAATGATAGTCCTCCCCCGCAAATCATGAAGACATAAAATCATTTGCTCATAACACAAATTTGAAAATAAATCTGAGGGTTTTAAGAGTCTTGAACCACTGGCTTTCCATCCTCCGAAGCCTGTCTGTTTTGAGTCAAAACACCTAAAGCAGAACCCCAGGGATGGTTGTATTAGGACTGGGCACTGGAGCCCCCAGGACAGGAGCATGAGACAGTCCAGAAAGGAAACCCAGGTGAGGGAAGTCTCACTTTCTTTTAAGATACTGAGAGAAGCCACAAATGTACGAATACAGAGCTTTAACTCTCTACATGTAGGAAGCCAACCTGCTCCTTTTTGATCTTCTTCTTTGGCACAGCTTCCGAGGACTTCTCTGATTCAGAACGAGTCCTAATCGATCTTCTCTGCTGCTTCTTTTCTACTGGGCCTAAGAGATGATTTAAACACATAAACATTCATATAAAGATGGCTTGACACTCATGGAGTTAAAATTTGAGCAGATTCTCTCCCTTTCTCATTCATTACTTTTGGAATTTCAATTATAAGCCATTAAAAAGCTTTTAAATATTTGGGAACACAAAATATTACTAATTTTAGTAAAATTGTAAGGCTACTGAACTAAGACTGAGATCCACAAAAGATTGTGATTATACAAATAAAGGGAGGTTGCTGGGGATAAAGCTCAGCAGCACAAGCATCTGCCTGGCAAGTACAAAGTCCTGAGTTTGATTCCTAGTACCAGTAAATAAATAGAATAAAGGGAAACTCAATTATTTATTTTTAAATTTTTATTTTTTAAATCATTTATTTTGGGCTGGGGAGATAACTCAGTAGAATAAGTGCTTGCTGAGTTCAATCCCTGGTACCGTAAAAAAATTTAAAAAAAAAATTATTTATTTTGTACAGGGTCTCGCTATGCAGCTCAGACTTGTAATGATCCTCCTGTCTCAGCCTCCCCAGTACTGAGATTACAGGCGTGTGCCACCACATCCCATTTCAGTGGCCAGCTCAGCGCACAGCTGGCACGGCATCTGGTACTGGGGATTGAACCCGGGTCTTTGTGCTGGCCAGACAGACACTTAGACCACTGAGCTATCCCCCTGAATTTTTTAAAATTATAAAATCTGGGCTGGGGAGATAGCTCAGTGGAATAAGTGCTTGCCTGGTAAGCGCAAGGTCCTGTGTTTGATCCCTGGTGTCACTTCCCCCAAAAGAGAAATAAAATTAAAAATTCAACAGCAGAGACAATTCAAACAAATTTAGCAACAAATTTAGGTAAATATATTTGAGGGGATAAAAGGACAGAAGAAGTGGGTAAAAATGACTTTATTACCCTGTTTACAAAGCTATTATTGGTCCAAAATTCTCAGTAAATGAATTTAATTAATTCAACGGGGTGAAAGAGTTAATGGTGCTTGGTAAGCTTAAATAAATTTTGCTACTGTCATTAATACTCAAAGTGAAAAAAGCAGCTGGGTGTGGTGGTACATGCTTGTAATCCTAGCACTCAAGAGGCTGAGATAGGAGGATCATTGCTAGTTAAGAGACCAGCCAGGGCTGCAAAGGGAGCTCAAAGCCAGCCTGAATTGCATGGCAAGATTCTGTCTCAAAAAGACAAAGCGAGAGAAGCAGCAAAGGCACAAAAATATGATCCAAACATAATCATCAATTTGGTCAATTTGACTATCAAGGGACTTTTGTTACACTTTAGAAAAAAAATTCATAAAAACCTACCTGAAATGAATTATCAAGCTTGTCCATGTTAAATGGTAAAACAAGAAATTAAGATTTAAAAAACAGTACATTCTTTAAAAATAAACAGAAGAGGGGCTGGAGAGATGGCTCAGTGGTCTAAAGCACCTACTTGGAACAAGCTTAGCAAAGCACAGGGACCACGG